GTATTGGAAAAAACTGTTAAATATACATTTTTTTATAAATAATTAGCTGTGTCTCATGCAAGATTTTCCAAACAGTGAAATAAGAACTGCATTTTTAAAAATAAGTACAATATACTGGTCAACTGGTTCATGGTAGGGTAATTTGCTGCATCTGTTTGTCCGAAGACTGGATCACCCGGAGGTAGAAGACTGCCTTAGCTCCTCCTATTCCCAGCCTATATCCCATCTTCTCAGGGACTGGCTGATTCCCCCCACCCACCATGGGTACAAGGAATATAAGCCTGGAATTTCTATGACTCTACCTTTTGAAGAGAGAGTCTACACCACCCTCTCCCGCCTAGCTACCGGCCATCTAGAAGGTTTACTATTTTCCGAAGGAACTAAAACCTACCCTCTTTGCCCTAAATGCCATCTACACCGGGCTTCCGCCGATCATATCCTGGGCAGTCTTGGTCTTCTCTGGGAAGACATCTTCTCTACTTCTCTTTTGGTTTCCGATTTCATTCAGAACAACGGGTTCAGAGATCTGGTCTGACTTCGTCAGGTCAGAAGAGGATAAGCAACGACAACAACAACAATATGCACAGTTTAAAAAAGTTTTACCTTCTTTTCTTAGCAACACTAATAATTTGATTTAATTTCTGATAAGAGAGTCTGAAATTGTAAATTTTGCACAGTTCTTATTTTATTTAAAAATTGAATTGTAAAATTATTCTGAAGCATACTAATTTGAAAATGAGAAATTTTATTTATTAAATTTTCAACCAGAATTAACTTATCTTTTTTACTCAAATCCAAATTGCATAAAAAAAATTTTTCTTTTCATTTCAACAAAGAAAATATAATAAACTTTTTTATGCCATTAAAGCTTTGGACATTTAAAATTATTTATCACGCGATGAAACATCTGTAGCTGACGTTCCAGCATTACACCACAAATTAAAAGTAAAAAGAGAGAAACAGAAGTTTTTCGGAAAGTTATTTCACTTTCCGTCAAACTTGCTTATTGTAAAACTGAAAACGGCTTTTGAGAAAAAGTTCTAATCGACTTATTTAGAATCATGCTTTAGAGAAAGAACGAAACAGATGAATTGAGGTAAAAATGCGTTCCTGGTTCTGATTTTGACAGATAAGCATGAGAGATGTTCCTGACAATCTGTTATCGGAAAACTGAGAAAAATAGATGTAGGTAACTTATATTTAAAAACAAACATAAATTATTTTTGAGACAGATTGAACATTACTCATATTAGAATGATATAAAGCTATTTTTTATACTTAGACTTAATATTTACTCTCAGGCATTTTGTTCCTCAGGATAGCTAAATTAACGTTCTTAATTAGTTTCAAAAATACACTGTTAAACATTTCTTAGAAAAATTATCAAACAACAATTTATTTAATTGTTATTTAAGCATATTCTTACTAAATTGTCAAATAACCATAAATAAGATTTTATTCAAACTGTTAACTGTGATAAAAATCTTTTATTAGCTGTTTTCGTCTAACATAACAGCCATATTTTTTATCTCCCCCTAATAGTTCAATCTAATGAAGGTATTTAGTCCCTTGAAACTGGCTACATACTATAGCCGAGAGATTTAATCTGTCAATCTCAAGACAAACTAAACGGGGGTTCGAATTTTAGCATTGTCGCCAATATCCCCCCCCATTCTTTCAACACGTGAGGAGTTTCTAATGCCCCAGACTACTGGATAACGAAACTCTTATTCATGCATAGATAGCAGCACTACAGAGCTGGTAACTTAAAAAAAAGTCTAGTAGTCTCCTCCCTCACGATACATGACACCTCCAGATAGAGTAATTTAGTCACATTCAACGGTATTTTTTGACAAAACACAACTCAAACACAGCTTTACTTAAATATCCATTGCCTACCCTAACCTAATTCCCATGTCAAGTTGAATTTCATTCATATTGTTCAGAATTTATGCTAATTGTGTACAGTTACACCACTGAACAGTCTTGTATTCGTAAGTTTTTAATCAAACCAGCTGTAAACGGTTTGAAAACGTATAGGTAAACATATGATCCCAACTGTAAACGTCATGAATAATTGGATGGACAAAATGTTGCCAGTTATTTTACTGAAATTTGAAAAGCAAAATTTCATCAGTGTATTGGAAAAAACTGTTAATTATTAACTTTATATAATTAATAAATTATTTCTCTCTGAAATTAAAGTTCGCTTCAATTTTCTGATACCATTTTAATTAAGAACATGTATTGCAGTTCTTCTGAACTGTTATCCTTAATTTCAGAACAAATGGTAAACATATGCTGGATAAAATGTTTATTTAAATTATTGTTCGCAAATTATAATTTTAATATCACTTAGCGTGAAGAATTAGCTCTTCAACGCGAATAATTTTTATAACAATGTAAAAAAAAAAAAATATTTCGAATACTTTTAAGGTTAAAGACTTAATTAAAAGATTAGAAATGACATGTAATTTGTATATTTCTTTTTTATTATATTTTACTTACGTTCTTG